GAACTTAAGCTTCAAATTGAACGGGCATACTTTGAGGCGCTCGTATTTTGTAAATATTTATTTTACACTAGCAAATACCCGGCATGCTTCGCTGCGCCTTTACAGTATTTTTATGCTTTTTGACAGGAGTATTGTAATATTTTACTTATTATCTCAATTTAATTGAATACAATTTTTCAAATAGGCGGCAACTCTCCTCAAAAATATTTTCGGCAGTAAACATTCACTAACCTCTTCAGTTTGATACCCATACTGCAATAAGCCAATTTATCTGATCGACTTAATTAAATAAAAATTTTCAAGCAGGTGGCAACCTTCAACAAAAATATTTTCGCCTCTAAGCTTTTTTAAACATCTTTCTTTTGACTGCCATATTACAATATTTACTTCTTTTATCAATTATAAATCTGCCCTTTTCAAACAGGTGGCAACTCTCATTTTTTTATATACTTTAAGTAAGACTTCTAGCAATACACCGGTGAAAACTGCATTCAATCACATGCTCTAGTTTTCGAGTGATAAGCGTACAAACATACAGACAGACAGAAACATAAAAATTCAAAAAATCATTAGTTTGGTTGTTGCTCTGTTGCTCTAATAAAGATTCCCATAGTAATTTTTCTTCAATATCTATAATGTACGGACATCGACCTGTTACAATTTCATTATATTTACATATTTATAGATAAGAGGAAATTTATAAAGAAAGTTTAAATGTTTATACTGCAGTGAGATTCTGATAATTGCTACGAGAAGTTTTTGTCCCCAAAATTCGCCTAAAAGTATAGAACATGAAAAAGAAACAAATGCAATATGTAATCAGCTAAATTTGACAGTGTGAGGGCAGTATGTAGCTAGATGTTGCATCTTTTTAGTCGCGTTTTCTATTCTTTTAAAGATCTTTGCGGAATTCAAAATCATACTGCTAAATTTCTGTAAAATAATGCTTAAAACCGAGCGACCATATTTTTGGGAGCACTTTTTTCAAAAGTTGCCTTCACATACTCTTTAAATATGTATTTTTCTTAGTACCAATTTTTCCACAGAAACTCGTCAGAAAAAACTCGTTGCTGCTAAACGTGCCTATCGCATTCAAACAATATTTTAACACACTTTTAGGCGCGCACATGCATACACAACACTACACACTAATTGGCAGATAAATTTCGTTTGCTTGCTACCGGCATAGACTATTTTTCTTTTTCCTGCTCATTTCCTGTATAAGCAGGAAATGCCGCCTTTGAGTAAACAACAAAGTAACCATAATAATCAGGCACCAAAAAATATGCTACATTTAAGCTAAATAAAATGCCGCCTAGGGCGGAGTGAGACGACGGAAAATGAAATGTTAAAAATCAATTTGAAATCTAAGCGGAAATATTGAATATCAATAAATCAGCGCACACAAATTCCCCAGGCGGTAATTTTGGCGGCGCTGAGCAGGACAATGGAAAGCTAATGGCAGAGAGCGGAGTGAAAATAGGGAGCGAGAAGCGAAAAAGGCATTGATAGAAAATGGTGTGTGCGTGCGGAAAAAGGAGCGTTCCCAAAAGCCATGCCAGATTTCAAATTTCGAAAATCGAATGTAAGCAAGAAGGTCAATGCTCCAGCAGTGGGGGCTGTTCAATTTGTCAGTGCCTGCGGCAGCCTCGCTTGCTAACAACAATTCCAATCTCCCCTCTTCGAGTTGCAGAGCTTTTTTGTTTTGGGTGTGCGCATGGCTGACCATTTTTTTTTGTTCATATGAAAAATTAAATTCTTATGCTACATTTGTTGCTGACCATTTATTGCACGCAACCATACAGCCTTTTAAGTTAGTCAAGCGTGTGTGTGTATGTGTGTGCGCGCTATTTTGCTTTACGATTTGACTGGCGTTAAGTGGGAGATTGGAAAAGTGCGCTGTGGAGTTGGGAAAAGAAAATAAGTGTAGGCTTTTGGGCGCTTCGGCGTTTTCTGTAGTCAAACGTACTTTTAGGCGCTACCACGCGAAACGAAAACTAAAGTAGTGTTACTGATTGCAAAAACGCGCGTGAAAGGCTAATGGGGACGCAGCAGAAGCGTACAAAGCTATTTACTTTTACCGACTTCCTCTTGCTGGTCCACCTTATTTTCGTGGTCAGCAAAAACATTGCACCTTTCTAAGACCAATGCGGTTTGCATGTATTAGTATACAAACAAAAACGTGTGTAAAAAACAAAGCTCTTTTTCCAAAGCTGAGCGACTATCAGCAAATCTATATACCCGATAGACTAGTAACACATACACACTTTAGCGTACAAGCACGCTTTGTTTGCATGTTTGTTTGTAGAAATTTATGCGCGGTTGTATGTTTTAGCCTATTTGGCCCTGATTTACGCCAAAAGCGCCCTGGGACCACTTGCTGTATAAATTGATTTTTTTGGTGTATTTCACCTTTTTCCTACTACTTTTTATTGCTATTTAATGCGCTTGACTGGGCAGTTGTACGCGTACATATGTATATTTGTAAAAGGGCGCAGAAAATTAGTGAAAATTTATCTTATTTGTTCTACTAAATTTTCTAATTGAAAGGAGGAAATTTAAGATGCTTTAAGAAGTTATAAATCGGGCTTTTGAAAAGTAAGAAATTCAGACCCATTCTTTTTAGAGGAAAGTTTCGTGCTACTAAGAGTTCTTCTTTGTTTTTCCAAAGCTTTCCTTAAGGTACTATTTTTGTATACACTTTTGGAAAAGCAAAAAATTAACAAAAACAAAAAAGTTAATGAAAAATTGGGAATTTTTCGAATCTATTGATTAAAACACTTAGCTTGTTTAAATTTGGGGAAGAAGAATACTATTTCTTAATGAAAAAATGTATTAAAAATACTTTCAAGAAATTAAATTAAAAAATTATAAATTCAAATATAGTCTTATAAAAAATATTCCAGGAATGAATGCAATAAATATACTTAAAAAAATATATTATTTCAAAAGAACAATTAGAAGAAAATATTTAAACATAGATACTTATTAAAAAAACTGTTTAATTATTCTAACATTTTATAAAATTATTTTAGTTATAATTTTATTTTTTAGAAAAGATTTTTTTGGAATCCTTTTTTTTGTTTACATACAAATTTGGAAAATGTTTCAAAATTAATAAAATACTCGGTGGCCTGGAAGAATAATTTATTCTTGATATTTTATAAAAAAATATGAAATAAAAAAATATGTAATAATAAAACATATTTTTTATTATTTTTTATTATTATTTTTAATTATTTTTTTATGTAAGCCTTTTATAAATAAATAAATAATTATTTAAACAAATTAGTAAATTATAGTAAACTATTTTTAACAAACTTAATTAAAAATAGTGAATTAAAAAAAAATTAAAAATTCGTAGGGTCCTATTTGAAGCTTTTAAGTTGAGGAATAAATAAATAGTATAAAAACTATTCAAAAAATTATACCTTTTGAATAAACAATAACAAAAATAGTTTTTAAAAGTAAATATATTTAGCATTCAACAATTTTTATTTAACTTGAGGCCGTTTTTTATGAAAAATTAATGAGGAAAAAACAACAATACGATATAAACGGTTGTTGTTTTTCAACAATAATTTTTCATAAAAAAAGAATATTTTTTCGTTATTTTTTAAATATTAGTTTTGAATTACAGAGTTTGTGTTTAAATACTTTTGCCATTTATTTTAAATTATTTTTAATGTATTAAAAAGTATATTTTTTCAAAAACCCTTTGTACATTTTTTCCTAAAATAAGTATTCGGTTTGGCTTTGGCATTGTAAACAACGAAAAATGAGACTGGTGATGGTACAATGCCGAAACCGAATACAAATCATTTTCCCACCTAGTCGAAAAAATCAACAAACATCAATAAATTGGAAATGTCTTTAAATATACTCCAGCGTGATTTAACTCTTGATCATAAAGATAAAAAATTGTATCTAAGTACCCTCGTTCATATTTTGATTTTGTATGCTCTTGCTTCTATCACAAGAGGTTTACTGGCTAAGTGTCCCTTTTTCCTCCACTTTAAACTGTGATATAACTTTTTTTTATTCATACATTTCTAAAAAAAGTTTTGAAATTTTTAATATATTTATTTGTAAATTTTAGAGATTTTTTTGTTTTCTGTGTCTCCTTAATGATTTGGCTGTTTTCATTATTAATTAGTTCGATTGTATTATTAATAAAAAAAACTTACCGAAATAGAAAAAGAAAGTATTTTATAATATATATAATTGTTATAGCGTTTTCTGAGCCGTTTGTGTGCGTCTTTATATTTTAGTTATTGTTTAAGGCATTTTTGTGGAGAGTTTTTTACGAAAAGAAGAGCTCACCACCCAAATGGTGTTTTTAATTAAAAGCCTTTCAGAGCAGAAAGGGGATATAAGAATTAATAACAAAGGGTTAATATTTTCAAATACGGGTGTAGCGTTCGAGAGGTGTCGGAAGTGTTTTTATATTAAAAATTACCTTGGCAAGCATTCCTCAATTGTAAACTGCCTACAAGATTTTTCACGTTGTAGTGGCTTTGATTAACCAAACACTAAATCTCCAATTTAGATTTAGATTAGACAAATGTCTAATTAATTTCTGCTCTCTTTCTTAGCTGGGAGAGTTTCTCTTTAACTAATTTTTGTATGGTCCTAATTACGTGGTGGAAAAATTAATAAAAGTCCATCGGAATGTATGCAGCATTAGAACAATTTTGCTATTTGTATTTTATTTTACGTCGCTTCGTCGCTACGTAGCGAAAGCTTGCAATTCTCAATCGACTTATGTGGTAGTTTTTTTAAGGTACATGTTTTATTAAATCGTCCAAAGTGATATATCTAACTGAACTATTTGGAAATCAGCTGTGATGGCTTGCTTTTAGGCTTTGGTCTTGAAAAAAAATGGCTTTTTGGCTTTTTTGTTCGCTGTTAATTACCATTTGTTCCTTAAACGCCGAAATATAGCGCGATGAAAGTGGTACATCAATAATCAACACAATCAGTATTCCTCGTATACTTACCACAATCAATAGCACGAAATATATCCAATCCCAAAAGCTGTGTGCATCCTGTACGTAGTACATAATATCGGTCCAGCCTTCGAGTGATATAACCTGTTGGAAAAGTGAAGGGAGAGTTGAAAAAATATTTAGAAAAATGGCACAAATGGAATCAAGGCAAAAGATGGAACGTAAAATTGGTTAAAAAGGGATCTTAGCTATCCTTAGCGTAAAATAATGTAGGTCTTAAAACATTTTTTAATGAAATGCTATGATTTTTAAAATCCAAAAAGTATTCAATATTATTATAGTAAAATTTTTTTATTTGAATTCGGAGAAGGGGTTGCATTGGGCAAATAATTTGTAGTGTCGTAATAAACAGATTTTATTTAAAGTTCGCAAGTTCCCTAATGTTTTGCTAAAAAGTAAAAAGAAAGCTATGAGATCTTTGTTTTTTTGCGCCGTTTATTCTTACTTTACTAAACTTAGGCTTAGTTCGAAATGGAAAACCGTGCTGTTGCCAAAAAGTATGCAATCTTCGTAAGCAGAAGTTTCAACTCTTAATTTGCAAAAAATAAGGTGTAATACTTTTTGAAGTACGCTTTTTTCACTTAAATTGCAGCCATCAGCGTCTACCAGTAGTCTCACAATTGTTGAGAGCTACCGGACGTTTTACCATTTGGCGCGCTAACCAGTAGTCTCACCGGTGTTCAGCAGCAGTATTCTCTCCGTTGACGAGAACCCCCGGACGATCCAGCAGTGCACTCGTCAGCGCCCACAGCTAGTGTAATCACCGCCAACCATAAGTAGTGCTCTTTCGTTTCCCAGGGCCACTGGAATGATCCATACAAGCATACTAACATGCCATACTCTGTCAATAACCCCCAGGCAGGGACCGTAACAATTACAACTTTTATTAAAAAAGTCACTCTTTAACAATTATTTTTTGACCTTTATTTTATTACTCCTTAACAGTTAACAGTTTTTTTCTGATTTCTATTATATAAATCCAAAATAACACTTATTTTGGATTTGTATCTAAAAAAGACTTTTATTTATAAAAGTCATCAATATCAATCAGTCACTGACTTTTATCATCTTATGACTTTTATAAATAAAAGTCTTCAATAATTGTTATCTAAGACATATAATATAAAAATCAAAAATAACTGTTATCTACAGATTATTTATATAAAAACCAAAAGTAATGGTTATTTTGGATTTGTAAAATAAAAACCAAAAAATAATTTTTACATAAAAATTACAAATAAAAATTTATTTTCAAATTTGATTGTCGGTGAAATCGATTGGTATGTATCACTTAGTTGTATAACATTTCCCTACATTTTAGCATATTTTGCATGTATATATTTTCTGCGCCTAAAAGCTTGTGACCTTTTCTTTATTTTCGATAAAGGATATTTTTTATATCCTCAGTGCATGAAATATTTTTTTAAATTTTTTAAAATAATATTTAAAATTTTGTTTTCATAACTTATAATTGAGACAGACTAATAGTTAGAGGGGGTTTTTAAACAAATTTTCATTGAATCTGCATTTTATTGTTAATTTTATTTTAAAATTTACATTATTTTTCCGGTCACAAACACGGCTTTTTATAATTAAATGCTTTTGCGTCTAAAATTATATCGTAATTTTCTCACGGGAGGGCTTCTATACCCAAAAGCATGCTACAGTTGCATACATTTTAGAATGTTTTGTTAGTTTTAACACGCTTCTCGTTACTCATTCGGCCAACACTAAGCGCAGTTAATTATTGCAACCTGCTCGCCTAAGCTTATGCAACATTTTGCACTTTTATTCAAATTTATTGCACAATGCCATTATCTAGTCGCAAATCGTTTAAATATGCTCTTCGCCAAGGCTAACAATCGTGCATTAATTACACGCTCAGCCACAACCTTCATGCGCCTAAAATTATGTGAATTTTTAACAATTATTATAAAACAACTAATTGATTATTTTATATTTTCGAGCTATTTAATTGCCTGGAAGTATCAGCGCGTACGTCCGATACTGCACGACTAAGCCGAAAAGTATGCAATGATTATGGATAAGCATAATGTTGGCTTTTAATTAATTTAGCTGCGGGCGAAAATCGACGCCAGTCAGCGTTGTGGGTGCAACTACACGCACTTGTAGAGGGGCAGTGTGCCAAGTGAAAGGCGCTGACTGGTGCAAGCAGGTGTGTCAGATGGCGCTGCTAGCTTTGGCTCTATGGCGGTTGTTGCGCATAAATTTCATTGCGTCAGCAAGGCTGCCATAAAACTCATGCACCAGCGCCGCGGTGGAAGATGAATTGAATTTTGAGTTAGTTTGCAGTTGGGGTTTTGAAAATTAGCGGTTTGCCAGTTTGGCTGGCATTCGGGGCGCCAGCTTGCTTGCCAATTTCAATTACTATATAATTAAGTTGTTTTTGTTATTTTCCTGTATGCGACACCGTTACTGATTGGCCAAGGACGCCTCTGTACGCTCTGGTTTTTGCGGTTCAAAATGTAATCGATCACCTAGCGGGAAGTTGGTGCAAATTATAATAAATTTTGTTATTTTGTTTTCGCTATAACCCGCTTGTTGTCTGTCATGCTGTGCGGTTGAAATAGATTTTTCATATAATTATGAAACTTTTCTTGGTCGCAATTTCGAAAATTTTAAATTTCTGACCAACTATGTAACATGAAACTTTATTTTGTGTTGTACGAAACAAATTTATTGCCCCCAAAGGTATGCAATACAATAGCTGCCATTCACCTGCAGCGGCAATACTGCCACATTAGTTACCAACAATAACAAAACAAAAACGTCACGTCACAGCATTTCAGACCCTTTAGCGTGGCCGTGAAAAAGTTGAAAGAAAAAGGAGAAAAAATGTAGTTTTCAAAAACTTTTTTCCGTCTTCACTTTTTCAAACACATTTGCCGCCCCACTTGTTGAACCAACCTTGCTGTGTATTGCAATGTTGCTGAAGCCTTCAGTGTCACCCCTTACTTCGCCAGCCCTCACAGCGCTCCGCGACCTGCTTTCCCCTTCTCCTCTTCCTCTTAAAATTAAATTCAATATCGCCCATCCTACCCTACCACCGTCACCTCGCTCTTTTCCACACCGCTTCCCTTTTCAATTTCACCGTTTCATTTTCACTTTCCTTCCACTGCCGACCGCTCAGTGTTTAGCGCAAACTTTTCAATAAGCAGCATATTTTTCGACTACGACTTTTCTAACCAAAACCAACGAAACTTATAAGCAAACAAACAAACAAATGACAACACACTGCTGCCGTCTGCTTCACTGCGATTGCACCGGCTGCTACCCACTCCCCAACGCGCGCCGGTAAAAGTACGTCGAAAATTTAATTTTACTTAGTTTCGCATGATGGGAAAAGTTATATGCGCGTAGCATACTTTCAGATGCTTGTTGGTTTTTGTTACACTTTACAAACTTGCCGGCGCGCTCACCCACACAAAGACGTGCACACAAATACACCCAGAATTTTCCCAACTTTCGCTCAATATAAATGTGGTTTTGTGTAGTTATGTAGCCACAAAGCGTGTATTGTCGGTAACTACTACCCATATTTAGGGTATTTAGTGTTTAATAAATTTTGGTTGCATACTTTTAGGTGCTTAGCAGTGTAGCGCAGTTAGTGATTGTTAGAAAATAACTGAAACGGAAAGCTAGTAATTGAGTTTTTGTTATTCTTATGCAAGAATTGAAATTGTGTTGCATACATTTGGGTGCATTGCTAAGGTAAATATGAAATTGTTGAGGTAGTCGTTGCAGTTAATTTGTAGAAAAACAAACTATTTGTAACCTTGTAGGTGAAATGGAAAGGTTTTAATGAAGATGTCAAGCTAACAGTTGCATAATTTTAGGCGTTAAAACAAGCTAAACTCTAAATTGTATCTACTATTTAAAAGACTTGGTAGGTAGATTGCATAGAATTTTATATTTTCAAAGTTTTAAAATTATTTCTGCTTTAGAAATATTTCACGGCTGCATAATTTTAGGCGCTACAAGGTACAGTCTATATATAAGCTATGGTTTATGGTTTGGCTATTAAACTTCAGAACATTCCGGTTTAAAGGCTGGAAAGTGTGTTTTGTTGTTTTTGAACTCAACTAGAACGGTTTATATTTCTAGGCGCAAGTCATACTAAATTTTCTGGAAATGAAGAACTTTTGGATTATTTAAAATTACATGTTATGAAGCGATTGTCTACTAGACATCAGTGAAATATCGCGTGGCGTTTTTTTGTTAAAAAAAATTATATTGCATACATTTTGTTGCCTCCACAAGCGAAATTCGTTAACTAATATTTACATTCATTTAACTTAATCATATAAATCTTTTTTTCAACTTCTAAGCACCGCTCTAATTTTCATATCTTTTTCCGCGTAAAAGCTATTTCTTATCTCTTAAATTCAAGTTTGTCGCAGCATACTTTTGGGCGCACGTTAAGAAATATGCAAGGGTATAGGCAACCAGCAAAGGAAAACTTTTAATTGCAATTTTCCTATAGAACTGATACTCTCTTGCTACTTGTTTGCATTGCTGCTGCATACTTTCAGGCACCAAAGCATAGACATGCCAAAAATGTAACTTCGTAATTTCGATTTGGAAAACTATGTTTTTCCAATTAATTGCAATTAAGTTTTCTTGGAGATAATTGTTTGCTATCTGCGAACAAGTGTTTTTCGTTGCATACTTTTTGGTGTAAAGTTATGCAAATACTTTCGGGCATGAGTTTGTGTGTGCTTAACATAACAACAATTACGATTTTGTTTGTAAAGAAATTTTTGCGAATGATAATTTCTTTGTATATTTTCAGGCGACAGGATGTTTTACGCAGACATTTAGGTGTAAGGAAAAATTTATATTTTTCACTGCAAAATTCGCTTTTGGCTCATACGTAGTTTACCTGATGTATGTATGAATGATACATAGGTATTTTAATGCATACATATACATATACATACATATGTACATACTTTCAGGCGCACACGCGAATTCGCTTACATTTTCAGATTCATGGATGAGTTGTTAGATTTTAAGTGAACATTGTTACGCCGTGAAGGATTGTGTTAGAATTTTTAGCAACT